GGAAATAAGGGTTACAAACCCTTATCATCTTATTTTATAAACTCACTTTCCCATTTTGCCTTACACTTTTGTGAAAATTCCATCCTTGTCCCTTAGTCAATTACCATAATGCCCTCATTTTTATTACATTCTCCATGAAATTCTACTTTTTTTCACTCCCCAATTTTTCAACTAATTTTGAGTGAAAAGACCATTTTACCCTTAATGCAAGTTTAAGGCATTTTCTTCATATTCTCTTAAAATAACTTTAATAAAAATTAACTAAGGGCTATAAAACATAATTTAAATCATGTACCTCCATGTTGGGCATCACAATTCCTCCCCCCACCTTAAAAGAATTTCGTCCTCAAAATTCAAATGAACAACTCTAGGTAACAGTTCTGCATATCTTACTCTGTCTCCCATGTAGCTTCTTCAACTTTATGATTTCTCCAGGGGACTTTCACTAAAAGGATACTCTTGTTTCGGAGCTTTTTAATTTTTCTGTCCAAAATTTGTATTGGTTGCTCCTCATTCATAAGATTCTTTTCTAAGTCTACATCCTCTATACTCAGAATATGGGAGAGATCACTTATATACTTCCGAAGCATCGGGACATGAAATACATTGTGAACTCTGTCCATTCTGGGTGGTAGTGCTAATCTGTAGGCCATGTTTCCTACTTGCTATAACACCTCAAATAGACCAATGAATCTCGGTGCTAATTTGCCCTTATTACCGAACCACATCACCTGTTTGTAGAAGGAAACTTTTAGAAAAACTTTGTCACCCATTTCAAACTCAACTTCCTTTCTTTTTAGATCAGCATAGCTTTTCTGCCTATCTTGGGCTTGTTTCATTCTGTTTCTGATCAGCTTTCCATCTTTTATCATTTTCTGAGTCATTTCTGGCCCAAGAGCTATATGCAACTCATCTCTCTCGCCCATCTCATCCCAATGCAGTGGAGATCTACACCGTCTACCATACAAAGCCTCATAAGGAGCCATCTTAATTGTAGACTGGTAGCTGTTATTATAAGCAAACTCCACCAAGGGTAACATCTCATGCCAGGATACTTTATAATCCATATAGCATGCTCTCAACATGTCCTCAAGCACTTGATTTGTTCTCTCTGTCTGACCATCTGTTTGAGGATGATAGGCAGTACTAAAAGCCAATCAGGTACCCAAGTTCCTCTGTAAACTCATCCAGAAAGCTGAGACAAATCTGGAATCTCTGTCTGATACTATTGTCTTGGGTACACCATGAAGTCTCACTATTTCTTTAATATACATCTAGGCCAATTGATCTGAAATGGTACTCTCCTTTACTAGAAGAAAATAGGTTGATTTCATTAATCTGTCTACTATCACCCATACAGCATTGTATCCTTTCTGCACTCTAGGGAGACCTGTAATAAAATCCATCAAAATACTCTCCCATTTCCATTCAGGAATACTAAGTGGCTGAAGCAACCCTGATGGCCTTTGGTGTTCTGCTTTCACTTGCTGACAATCCAGGCATTTAGCTACAAACTCTACAATATCTTTCTTCATACCTGGCCACCAATAACCTTTCTTTAAATCTTGATACATCTTGGTTACTCCAGGATGAGCAGTGTACGGTGTATCATGAGCCTCTATAAGGATTCTCTTTCTCAACTCATCATCTTGAGGAACACACAACCAACTCCTAAAATAGAGAACATCATCCAACAATCGAAACTCTGATGTCTTGCCCTTATGCACTTGCTGAACTGTTTTCTTACACCACTCATCAATTAGTTGCTTTTCTCTAATTTCTTCTAGTAAGGTAGACTGAACCTCTAACCTGGCAATCCTTCCTAGTATGACCTCAATCTGCTCTTTACATAACTCTTTTATTAACTCTTTTTGTCTTGTGAGTCGGGACAGATAAGCTTTTCTGCTCAAAGCATCGGCTACTACATTAGCTTTCCCCGACTGATACTTAATCTCACACTCATAATCTTTAACCAGCTCTAACCATCTTCTCTGTCTCATATTCAACTCCTTCTGAGTAAAGAAATACTTTAAACTCTTATGGTCGGTGTAGATATTACTCTTGGCACCATAAAGGTAATGCCTAAAAATCTTCAAGGAAAAGACTACTACTGCCAACTCTAAATCATGTGTAGGGTATCTTGTCTCGTACTCTTTCAATTAATGAGAAGCATAAGCTATAACCCTACCTAACTGCATCAATACGGCACCAAGTCCCTGCAATGAGGCATCGATATAAATATCATAATCTACACCCTCATGTGGTAACACTAACACTGGAGCTGTCGTTAATCTTTTCTTCAACTCTTGAAAACTCTCTTCACAGGCAGTTGACCATATAAAAGGAACTCTCTGTTTGGTAAGAGCTGTCAATGGCTTAGCTAGCTGGGCAAACCCTGCCATAAATCGACGCTAATAACCTACTAGTCCCAAGAAACTCCTCACTTCTTTTACTGTCTTCGGCCTTTGCCATTCTAGGATTGCCTTTACTTTACTAGGATCCACTAAAATTCCCTCACTAGAAACAGTGTGGCCCAGAAATATCACTTGATCAAGCCAGAACTCACATTTAGAAAACTTGGCATACAACTTATTTTCTCTCAATCGCTGCAACACAAATCTCAAGTGTTCCTCATGCTCTTCTCTTGACTTCGAGTAAACCAAGATGTCATCAATAAATACCACTATAAACCGATCCAAGCAATCATGGAACACCCTGTTCATTAAGTCCATAAAAACTGCTAGGGCATTAGTCAACCCAAAAGGCATAACCACAAAATCATAATGCCCATATCTTGTCCGAAAGGCAATCTTAGCTACATCTTGTTCTGCCACCTTTACCTGATGATAACCCAACCTCAAATCAATCTTAGAAAATACTGCTGCACTCTTTAACTGATCAAAAAGGTCATCTATCCGAGGTAATGGGTATTTATTCTTCACTTTCACTTTATTCAGTTCTCTGTAATCAATACACATCCGTAATGACCCATCTTTCTTCTTTACAAACAAAATTGGAGCTCCCCAAGGAGAATGACTTGGTCGGATAAAACCTTTGTCTATGAGCTCTTGAAGTTCCTTTTTCAATTCTTGAAACTCAGCTAGGGCCATTCGGTAAAGGGCTTTAGAAATCGACGCTATCCTTGGTGCCAGTTCAATATTAAACTCAACTTCTCTTTCTAGAGGCAAACATGGTAAGTCATCCGGAAATACATCTGGAAATTCCCAGACTATTGGCACTCTTTGCAATTCTGGTTGTGGGACATCTTTACTTTGCACCACATGGGCTATATATCTAGAACACCATTTTCTTAGCATCTTTCTAGCCTTCATGCTACTAATCAACATACTCAGCTGATGGCCTTCTCTGAAACTAAACTTATCTCCACTATCAAGATTAAATCTCGCTTTCTTCTTCCGACAGTCAATTTCTACTCCATACCTCCCTAGGAAATCCATACCCAAAATCACATCAAAGTCGGGCATATCAAACACTATTAAATCAACTGCTAACTCCCGACCATGGATCACCACGGACTCTCCTGACAACATCTCATAGGTCACAACACTAACCCCATCAGGTAACTCTATCTTAATGGGTTGGCTCACTCTAGTAGGTTTCAAACCTAATATTTCTATCATCCTATAAGATATAAATGAATGAGTGGCTCCAGAATCAATTAAAGCATAAAGAGGAACTACATGAAATAATAATTGACCCGTAACAGCTGATGGACTGGCTTCTGCTTCACCTTGTGCTACTGTAAATACCCTGGCATTAGTGCCTCTGGAGGTCTATGCTGCAGATGGAAAGGAAGCTTTACAATCTTTCATCAGATGTCCTAGCTGCCAGTATCGATAACACACATTACGGCCCAACTCTCTCAAACACTCCCCTGGATGAGTCTTCCCACATATAGGACATAGGGGAAACCCCGCTGTTCTCGGCCATTTATTCTGCCAATCTTTCTTCTGATTTTATTTTCTGAGCCTCTGAGGAAAAGGAACAAGAGGGGTATGATGTGCCAGCTCCAGCGGTATCTTAGGAAATGTCAATTTTTCCTTCTTTTGCTTTGGCATCTTTTCCCTCTTTTGTTCTTCTTCTCTTGGGCTTTTTAACTTTTCCTCAACAATGATTTCTTCCTCGATTTCTTCATCGGACTTTTCCTTTTCTTTTGGTGGGTTCTCACCTTTCCCTTTTTGTTCAACCTCTTCCAAGACTGTTCCACTTCTTAAAGTTATTGCATTTACTTGTTCACATGGATTTGTCACTGTGTTACTTGGTAGGGAACCTTGAGGTCGCTCATTCAACTTTTCGGCTATTTGACCCATTTGTACTTCCAAGTTTCAAATCGATGCCCTTTGGTTTCTGAAATTCACCCTCGTCTCACTCATAAAACTTGTGGTCTCTTACATGAACTTTCCGAACATATCCTCCAATTTCGAAACTCTTTGATCCAATGGTTGATGGTTCACCTCTACTTGATTGTTTAGCAATGTTCTTTGATTCCATTGATTATTTTGATTGCCCCAAGACAAGTTTGGATGATTTCTCCAACAAGGATTGTACTTGTTGGAGAAATGATTGTTTTGTTGTCTCTAATTCCCAGCCAAATAGTTGACTTGTTTTGATGATGAGGACACTGAAGCAAAATTATTCCCCACTTGGCATTCAATGCTTGCCTGATTACCTGCACAAAAATCACATGTTACTTGAGGTGTTTGAATTGAATTTACTTGCATACCTGCTAATTGTTTCTGAAGTGTTGTCAGTTGGGCTGAAATGGCTGTGTAAGCATCGACTTCATGAATACCCATAGACTTCTTCGGATGAATTCTTTCATTGGGTCTCTGATAGTTGTTACTTGCCAGGACTTCAAGTAACTCATAAGCTTTTTCAGGTGTCTTGTTTTGCAATGCTCCTCTAGATGTCGCATCTACCATTGTTTGCACATTTGTCAGCAACCCATTATAGATGTTTGGGCTTACATCCAAATAGGCAAACCATAGTGTGGACACTTTCTCAATAGTCCCTTATATCTCTCCCACGCTTCATAAAGTGACTCGTTCCCTTCCTACATAAATGATGTGATATTGTTTCTCATCTTTGCTGATTTCGCTGGTGGGAAGTATTTAGTCAGGAAACTTTGTGCCAATTCATTCCAAGTTGTGATTGTTCCTGCTGGTAGTGCCATTAACCATCCCTTTGCTTTATCTCTTAATGAAAAAGGGAATAATCTTAACCTGATGGCATCATCTGACACTCCATTTGCCTTAAATGTGTCGCATATCTCTAAGAAGTTTGAAATGTGTGAATTTGGATCTTCCTTTGCATCTCCCCCAAATTGTACTGACTATTGGATCATTTGGATGATTGCCAGCTTTATTTCAAAATTGTTGGCTTGCACCGATGGTCTAGTGATACTTGGACCACAACTATCAACGGAGGGTACTGAGAATTCCCTCAAAGTTCTGTTTTTAGCCATTTCAATGACTATTGCCTCTCGTTCCCTTCTCTCTCTAATAAGTCTTCTTGTAGTTCTTTCAATCTCTAGATCAATGGGAACCACTGGATGATGTCTTGCTCTTCGCACAAACTACACAAGATCACAAGTGAATGAAAAGAAATGCGAAATTAAACTAAAACTAATTAAAATAAAAATAAAACTCCAATCTAGTGAAAACTAGAAAACTTCAATATTAACACTAAATCAATCCCCGGCAACGGCGCCAAAAACCTGATGTGTTAATTTTGACAACATGCAATGTGTAGCAAGTGCACCAGTCGCAAAAATTAATAAAATGATGAGAAGAGTATCGTTCCCACGAGGATTGCGTGTTAAGTACTAATTTTCCTAGTTTTATAACTAGTTGAAGAACACAAAGATTGTTGGATTTGTGGAAGACAAAAAAAAAATTAGAAATTAACACAGAATCAATAACGTAAATTAAAATCTAACTAATTAAGAAAATATCAACTAATTATGAAAATATCAATTCAAGACAAAAAGGTTAGGGTTTCGACTTCACTAGGTTACTCTAATTCAATCTACGGTTGATGTTGCCTTTAAACTCACATGCAAGGATTATAAATCGGATACCCTAATCTGCAGAATACACATTCTCAGGCTATATTCTCCTACTTATCCCTATTAAGCTTCCGCACCCAACAAAATGAAGATTGACAGTTCTAATTCTATTAAGCCAAATGGAATCCTAAAGTGATTTCATAGATCTCCGAACCTATCTCTAACATTCATTTAATCTATGGTATCTACTCTAAGAGGCTAACACATGAATCACTTCTCAGTCTCATCATGCTCAACATTTAATTGAAATAAGGAAAACTCAACATCCAATTGCATTAAGAACAAGAATAAATACAAAATCAAAGCAATAGAAATTAAAAACAATATCTATTATAGATTAAACCATTGTAATCAAAGTTAGGTCAAAACCCTAACCCAAAAGTGGGTTAGTTAATATTCAAATTAATGAAAAAGGGAATATAAACTGTAAGTAAATAGTTCAACATGCTCAAACAGTAAGAAAAGAATGAAATCTTCCCTAACTGATGACCCAAAATGCTTCCAATCTCCAATTTCTTCCTTTTCTTCTCTCAAAATCCAAACCCCCTACAAAATGAGCTAAGGCTCTCTTAAATAGTCGACCAAAACCCTAAGATTCTAATCCAATAATATTAAAATGCAACGTTTTACAAACAGAAAAATTGCAGTTTTCGCCGTGGCGGAGAATAAACTTCGTTGCGACATCGAGTTGAAATCTCGCTGAACTATCTGACCCAAGGCTAGGTTGCCGCGGCAAACTTTGTTGATCTTTTCTAAAATTATGAAACTGCCCTCTGCTTGCTTCTTCACTTAAGTCTTTGATCTTTGCGATCCCCGATAGGACCAAGCTTTATAGTGCTTCCACTCCGCATCAGAATTTCCCTGATTCCTAAATTTCTCTTGATTTTGGGTCCAGAAACTCAATTTCGCTCAATTTTTCTCCAACTGCATGTTTTGGCCTAAAACGTAAAATATATGAAATTAAGTTGCAATTCAGGCACAAAACTTAATAAGAAGTATCCAAAATCCTACCAAAAAGTATAGAAAAAACAGTATAATCCTAGGAGTAGGTGCCCTAGAGCCAATCAATTATTTTGGAATAGACTCTTTGTAATAATGTTTATTAATAAAGGCATTATCTACTATATCATGTAAACCATAGTTGTATGTATTTATAAATGTTCTTAGAATGGTAGAACCGTGACGAGGGTATCAAGTGATTCAAATCTTGATAGTGAGAACCCTATGAGCACATATGGTGGCCATTCTAGAAACGTCCCTAGCCCTAGTATTAATCTGACCAAGGGCACAGATAATACAGTAAGGCTATCATAGTGTTGAATGACCCTATTGAGAGGCAGTGACAAATCTCACCTGTTAAGGTTGTTTGCTGACAACTTGGTGCAATACATGGGTGCTTACTGTAGGCAAGTTATATGGATTGACCCACCAGAGGATTCCATATAGATGGTAACCCCAGTTTCTATGGAACAAATCCTCTAACGAATGGTGGTGCATGTGATCCTTAGACTTTAGATCACTAGAGCGCCTTGTGCACCGATTCGTGTAGTTTGACACTAGCCCAACGCAATTCTATTCAAAGTTGTCCATATGGTAGTGATTGGCTACATCGAGGAGTGTATCAAGACTATAGTGGATCGATAGAGGATTCATCACTCCCGGGTATGGGAGAAGTTATCTCATGGCGTAATTCAGTTAATGACAATGACAGTAAATCTATGATCATAGTGGGATTGAGTAGTTGCTCAATCCAATTCATTATTCTAGTCATTGGTCCAGTACTGGATACAAATATATCGAGAGTAACTAAGGTTGACACTATTTTTGTGCCATAGTCTCGATGAGATAACAGATGATGAAAAGATTTGATTGTACGATAACCATATCATTGATAGGTAATTGCTTCGCTGAATCCGAATCTATCGGGTTGCCATGATGCCTTGCAAAGGACCAATCTTGGTTTGTGTGTAGTAAGACGATTAATTGGTGTTAATCACGATACTACACACTGCCAGTATGATGAGGAGCCTATGGGTCACACACATAGAAGATAATTTAAGAATCAGTTTGTGCATGTAATAGCCACTTTCTACTCACATACTCATAATGAAATACATATAAAATAATATAAAGAAATTGGGCCCAAAATTTTCTTTTTATTAAATATATATATATATATTCTTTACAAACATATACATTTTTACACAAACTTATAATGTATACAAAAGATATTAAAACATGGTGGACAGTGTAACCACTTCCCCTCGCGTGTCGACGACCATCCGACTGCGTACTCACCTGGATCCTGCAAAACATAGGAAAACAACGGGGTGAGCACTAACATAATGCTCAGTAAGTAAATCCTCTACTCATCTATCCCCGTAACTCTCTCTCTAATTCTTTCCTTACAACTTCTCATTCAATTTTTCTTTGGTACTTCCCTCTCTCTTTCTTCCTTAGAACTCTTTTCTATTAACTCTTTAATAAGTCACGGCCCCATCTTACAAAGGGCACAGCCGGGACTCGCTCCCACTCTACGTGACCTCTACTCATTCTAGCCGATCGGACTCGGTTATGCATGGATTCGGAACCCTTGGCCATGTGAGCGTATAATATCTCTCTCGGGTACTCGGGTAGAGCCCTCATCCGCATGCACTCTCACGGGCTACACCACTTCTCTATCTCATACTCATGCCGCTCTCTCAATGCGGCGTACATGCGGGAATACTCTACCCATTACTCACGGGTTCCCCATCGCACAACCTACTCTATTCTCTTCTCTACTATATCTCAAACTACTTCTTGAGTGTATAAACAAATGTGTATAGATAGCTCATACTCACTAATGCACTTATGAAATGCCAAATACAAGATTTCCTCAAAACAGTCATTCTGCACAAGTCACACTAAAAAGGCCATAACTTGCGTTATACACCTCGGATTGCTACGGTTTTGGTCTCGTTTTAAAGCTTAGAAACAGGGCTATAACTTCTATGTTTTGGTCTCAGCCCAGTTCAACCCGTAAGATGCCCAAAAATTACTTAGAAAGTCACGGCAGTGATAGGGCAGATTTCACCTAGGCATTTCATCAAGCAACTCATGTGCATATAAACACTCTACTAAAATTACTACTATACTTCATTCTCTAGCCATCCAAAATGGGAGAAAACTCCCTCATATAACCATAATCCCTGCCAAGAAAAGCACTTCCAAATAGGTTCACACAACATCTCTCAAACTTCATCTCAAATTCCATTTCTCATCACACATCAAGAACACTTCTCATAATACATATTCATCTCAACTCAATTCTCAACAACATAACATACTTATACAAGTATACATCTCTATTCAATCTCTACATCTCTACTCAAAACTTAGCAAACTCAAGTTGGTAGGATTTACTTACCTTGTGAAAAGGTGACTTCTTTAGCACTTTTCCTTTCCTTTGTTGTCTTGTCTCTTCTCTACAACTCAAAACAACAACAAGAACAATAACAACCAATTAAGACTTCACTATAACCATAAGAAAACTCACATCTAAAGCATGAATCCTTACCTTAGATGCTTTAGATGAAATCTCTACTCAAAATTACTCAAAAGCTCTCTTAAATCCCTTAGAAATCTTGGAAGATTGGATGGAGAAATTGAGAGAAATTAGGCAAATGGAAGAGGCGGTGGAATGGATGGACTAAAGGGTTTCTCTACACTTAACTCTTTTTTTAGCTCATATTATAAGCATCATTTCCCATTTGCCCTTGCCCTTCCTTAGAAATTCCATTTACATCCTTTGATTCTTTTCAAATACACCCCTATCCAAACACAATCTCTACTTAATTTCCTTACATTTTACTCCCCACTTTTCCTACTAATTAGGGGTAGAATGGTCATTATGCCCCAAAAGAAGAATTCTCTAGAAAACTCAAGAAACTTTGTATTAGGCTCGTCGCCGCGGCGAAGCACTTTCTGTCGCCCCGGCGAAACAGGTCAGAACCTACTCGTGGGTGCAACTCCTCCTC